CAATGCTTGGTAAGAAATGTACGCATTATCCTGCCCATGCAATTGTAACCCCTCTGTACAGTTTGTTCACAAATAAAATAAAATTAAAAAAAAAAAAGAAAGAAAAAGAGCTGGAAGTGGCCCTGTGGCTCAAGTGGTAGAGTGCTAGCCTTGAGCTGAAGAGCTGAGGCACAGTGCCCAGGCCCGGAGTTCAGGCCCCACGACCGGACCCCCTCCCCCCCCCCAAAAAAAAAAAGCTCAGGTACAGCACTCAGGCCTTCAGTTCAAGCCCAGACCCAACACGTGTGTGTCCTCATAAATGCCTCCCTTGTCTTCACTCCTCCCTCCCCCCCCCAACACTCATAATTAAGCTTCATGAAACAGAAACAAACTTTATTAAGTTCATCACTTGGAGCTTATCACCTGTTCCAGAGAAGGCACTAAATAGCTGCTGAATGAAGGAGTGATACTTCTGTCATTAGGGGAATGCCCTGGGGTGGGGCGGTATGTGTAAGGTCCGCTCTTGGATGGTGAGCAGACTCCACCCTCCTCACAGCAAAGTTTCTGCCCAGTTCCTATGTTACCTAGGCAACTGGCTCACCTGGAAGAGGTCACATCTGCATCTGCTGAGGTCACATCTGAATTAGATGTGACCACACCTTTCTCCACCCATACCTTAGATAAGGCCTAGCCCAGGCCCAGAAGCCCTCTTTCCCTGGTCTTTCCCAGCCTGGGGAGGGCCTACATGACCTGGTGCTAGCCAGAAGGATGAATAAACCTACCCATTACCTGAATACCACATGCTTGGGGGTGGTTCTTACTGGGCTACCTCTTTTTAAAAACCTAACTATTCACGTAACTCTATATGGGTTTAGGTGTTTTTATTAGATCTAGTATTTAAAAATTTGGTGTAATTTGAATCTTTCTACCTCCTGGGAGGGGTGTGAAATAAATGGATCCCATCGTGTCTTTGGGGGGTGCAGGAAACAGGCAAAATAAGGTTAAAATAGGAGTCTTGTTTCTTATTTCTACTTGTTTATTTAAAACACTTATGTAGCTCTCACTTTGTTTGCCAGGCACTGTTCAGAGTTCTTTATAAATATTAACTCGGAGCAAATATTAACTCAGAGTTGTCGGCCAGGATTGAATTAATTTTGCTTCTCTCCACTCTCGGGGTGGGGGGAATAGAGGGGGAGGCCTGGGCTGGGGGAGGGGAATGTAGGCGAAGAAAGAAAAAGGCCTTTGTCGCTTTAAGATCGGCTATAGCTAACCCCTCCTCCTGACCGCGGCGGACCCTACCCCAAGCGGAAGTCAAGCTCCGCCAGCGGTCTCCTCCCCCCACCCCCTCCCCAGGTTCCGCCCTGCGTCAATCAAAACCCAAAGACACCGCTGCTAAGCAACGGCAAATGGCGGGAAGTTTGAAAGTTTAGGCAGCGCCCCTAGTGGGGAAAAAACCAATCAGCGCCCAGACCCTTCAGCGGTTCCCGCCTCCTTCCCGCCTTCGTCGAATCTTTAGATAGGATCCGAGACTCTCTAACCAATAGCTATAAAGAGAGTGAGGAGTCTGCGCGCGCATTCCGCCCACGCCCTGGAAGCGTCCTTCCCGGCGGCTTAGGGCGGTTGGCCTGTGGGGCGGTCTCGAGCTCCTCCCCGTCGGGTGACGGAAAAGGCGGGAGAACGCCGCGCGGAGGCTGCTGTGGTGGGTGGGGATAGAGCGTGATCGTGGGGCGTGGTTGGTAGCAGCGGAGAGGTTACCCTTCCACAGGTCTTCTCTCCGGACCTTCAAATCTCCCCGCTTCTAAACTACAAAATCCGTGTGACAGAAACGAGGGTGGGGCGCACCGGGGCCTCCTCGTCTTGCTCCCGCGGAGCGCCTGCGAAGGCCCGGCAGCCTGCCTCCTCTGCCGTCACCACAGCCCTCCGCGCCCCTGCTAACCAAATGTCCCCTTCTGCGTCCGCAGAGCCGTCCAGTCCATGGCTTCCTTCCGAGCAACCCCAGGCAGGGCTCCACTGGGCCCGGGATCGAGGCCGGCCACAGCCAGCCCCCCTATCCCGGTGCTGGGGTCTGGAGAAATCAGAGAAGTCCAGGAGGAGGACGAAGACGAGGAGCCGGCCGAGGTCTCCAGGGGATGTCCGCGTGTTCGAATACTAGGGTTTGGGGAACGGGGCCAGGCACTCGCCTTCTACCCCCAGGGATTAGATAAAATGACTAACGAGCAGTTAATATAGCCTGGCAAAATCCTGCCCTTCCCAGTGGTACAAATCATTGGTTTCCTTTTTTTTCCTCGTGGGGCAGATCCATCTGTGTGTGCTGTGGAATTCGGGATATCTGGGCATTGCCTACTATGACACTAGTGATTCTGTCATCCACTTTATGCCAGATGCCCCCGATCATGAGAGCCTCAAGCTTCTCCAAAGAGGTGGGGACAGAGCCACGAATTCCCCTGCTTTCTAGAACTGCAAGTGTGTCTCATTCATATGTCCTTATTTGACAACTTATGGTTGATTACTAAACACTTCCTCTTGTTTTTAGGAATCGTTTTTGTTGTTTTGTTTTGCCCATAGGGCTTGAACTCTGGCCTGGCTGGGGCACTGTCCCTGAGCTTTTGCTCAAGGCTAGCACTCTACCACTTGAGCCATGGCAACCCGCACCCCGTCTGGCTTTTTCTGAGTAGTTTTATTGGAGCTAAGAATCTTTTGTTTTTGTTTTTTTTTTGTTGTTGTTGGTCATAGGGCTTGAACTCTGGACCTTGGGACCTGTCCCTGGGCTCTTCAGCTCAAGGCTAGCTCTTTGCCAATTGAGCCACAGCACCACTTCCGACTTTTTCTGTGTATGTGGTACTGAGGAGTCGAACCCTGGGCTTCATGCATGCTAGGCAACCACTGTACCATTAGACCACATTCCCAGCCCCTGGAGCTAAGAGTCTTACAGACTTTCCTACCTAAGCAGGCTTCAAACTGAAATCCTCAGATCTCAGCCTCCTGAGTAGTTAAGATTACAGGTGTAAGGCACCAGCACCCATTTCATTATTCTTAAGTATTTACAGTATGTTAAGTGCTGCAGATCTAGTCCTGAGCATGTAAGTCATGACTCCTCAAGGGATTTAGTCTAGTGACAATCTTCAAGACATCTTTCTTTCCTCCTAGTACTGAGACTTCTATAAATCCCATAGGAATGAGACATATGCTCCCAATGTGCACATCCTACTTTTAGAGAAAATCTGAGAGGGAGAGAGCTTAGCCAAGAGAGTTTCCTCTTCCTTAAAAGATAAAGCTCCTTGGGGCTGGGAATGTGGCCTAGTGGTAGAGTGCTTGCCTAGCATGCATGAAGCCCTGGGTTCAATTCCTCGGTGTCACATCAACGAAAAGCTGGAAGTGGCGCTGTGGCTCAGGTGGTAGAGTACTAGCCTTGAGCAAAAAGAAGCTCAGGGACAGTGCCCAGTTTCAGCCCTAGGACTGCCAAAAAAAGAAAAAAAGATAAAGCTTCTTTAACTGCTTTTGTCTGTCTTCTCTTAAGTTCTGGATGAAATCAATCCTCAGTCTATTGTTACAAGTGCAAAACAGGATGAGAATATGACTCGGTTTCTAGGAAAGTTTGGTAAGGAAGAGGGAAAAGGAGAAAGGGCTAAGTTATGGAATGTTCCAAGAGGCTAGATAGAACTGGGAGAGTGGGAAGGAGGCACAGACTAAGGTACACATGGAATAATGGTCCTCTCTTTGCCTCCCACAGCCTTTGAGGAGCAGAGAGGGCCAAGGAGACCTGAAGTCGTATATTTGCCAAGTGTGGATTTTGGTATCTCCTTTGTGCTTTGCATCCCATCCTGATAGTCCTTCCCTGCTTTCCCAGCCCCACCCATCAACCTGAGATCTACTGCTAGACCGTGTGTGCGTGTGCGTGCATGCGTGCGTGTGTGTCTGTGTCTAATTGGTAATAAGAGTCTCATGGATTTTCCTGTCCAGTTTGGCTTTGAAGCACAATCCTCAGATCTCAGCCTCCTGAGTAGCTAGTATTATAGCATGAACCACCAGGCTTAGCTTTTTATTTTTTTTGGGGGGTCCGGTCATGGGGCCTGAACTCTGGGCCTGGGTGCTGTCCTTCAGCTTTTCAGCTCAAGGCTAGCACTCTACCACTTGAGCCACAGCGTCACTTCCAGCTTTTTTCTTTTTGCTTACGTGGTGCTGAGGAATCGAACCCAGGGCCTCATGCATGCAAGGCAAGCGCTCTACCACTGAACCACCTTCCCAGCCCCTTAGCTTTTTGTTTTAAATCCTCCTCATCTCCTTCATTCCCTATGACCTGTTTAAGACCTCTCTTGATCCTTGCTCTTTAATGACTTCCAGTGCAGACTTGGGTTAGGCATTTTTAGGGATAGGAGCCTGCCTTGAATGGAAGGAGTGATAAAACTTTTTGAACCCGGTGTCTCAGGCCTATAATCCTAGCTACTCAGGAGGCTGAGATCTGAGGATCGTGGTTCAAAGCCAGCCTGGGCAGGAAAATCCATGAGACTCTTTTTTTTTTTTTTGGTCGGTAGTGGGGCTTGAACTCTGGGCCTGGGTGCTGTCCCTCAGCTCTTCAGCTCAAGGCGAAAACTCTACCACTTGAGCTACAGCGCCACTTCCTGTTTTCTGGTGGTTTATTGGAGATAGGAGTCTCATGGTCTCTCCTGCCCGGGCTGGCTTTGAACCGAGATCCTCAGATCTCAGCCTCCTGAGTAGCTAGGATTACAGGCATGAGCCACCAGTGCCTGGCCATGAGACTCTTATCTCCAATTAGCCACCAGAAAACTGGAAGTGGCACTTTGGTTCAAGTGGTAGAGTGCTTGCCTTGAGCTGAACAGCTCAGGGACAGTGCCCAAGCCCACAGTTCAAGCCCCATGACCAACAAAAAAAATAAAATTTAAATAAATAAATAAAACCCCACACAAACTTTTTGAACAGCTTTGTTGGACTTTTCCCCTTAAAGTCATTTGTTGATATTAAAAAAGAAAAAGGACTGCCTTGGTGACCCTGATGGCCATAAGACACTTTTGTAAACTTCCTCGGTTTGCAGAAAGTACAGGGAATGCTCTATATTAGGGTATTAGTGCTATTAGTTCCTCTATCAGTATAATCTTTTGGGCCAACCCCTTGCCAATCTCACATATCTTTCTCTCCTGAATCCTTTATCTGTCTTTCTTTTTCCTTGTGAAAATAATGAAGAGAAGCCCAGCGCTGGTGGCTCACACCTATAATCCTAGCTACTCAGGAGGCTGAGATCTGAGGATCGCAGTTCAAAGCCAGCCTGGGCAGGAAAGTCCATGAGACTCTTATCTCCAATTAACTACCAGAAAACCAGAAGTAGCGCTGTGGCTGAAGTGTAGAGCCCTAGCCTTGAGTTGAAGAGCTGAGGGACAGCACCTAGGCCCAGAGTTCAAACCCTACAACCAACCAAAAAGAAAGAAAAAGAAAAGAGTGAAGAGTCACAGTCATGATCTATTAAAAAGTTATTGTAATGTACCTCCCCCCACAGGTATTCTCTTTTTTTGTCCTTTCTCAGATTGTGCTTTTAGCCAAATATCCTTCTCATATGTATGTACACACACACACATATACATCTATGTATATATATGTACATACATATATACATAACATAAAAAGAATTTAAGAACAATTTTTTGTTTTTTTCTTTAGCTTTCCATTAACTGCTATGTTAGCTTGGACAAGTTACATCATTTCTCTTGCTTTTACTCTCTTGTTCTTAAAATGGAGTGAAAAAATACGCTACTAGACCTTTCCCTCCCCAACTTCCCAAATAGGTCTAGAGATAAGCAAACAACGTCTTCTTTCTGGAAACTACTCGTTCATCCCAGAGTCTATGACTGCTACTGAGAAAATCCTCTTCCTCTCCTCAATTATTCCTTTTGACTGCCTTCTCCTGGTGAGCTGGGTCCTGAGGGTAAAGGAGGGGCTGTGTGGCCAATTGGAGAAAGGCACAAAAGTGTCAGCCCTAGGGCTATATTCTGGAAGGTTTTGGACCATTCCTGGAAAATAATAGTTTTCCCTAGTGTTGAGTAGCTTCTAAGATACAGTGTTCCTTACCTATATGGGAGTTAGGTTCCAGAGACCCCTGTGATAGGTTAAAATCCGTGAAGTAGTAATAAGTGGACCTCAATATAGAGAGGGTCGACTATATTAGGATTTATTGCTGCTGAATAAACAGGAGATTTATACAATGCTAATCCCCTCCCAGGTTCGGGCTCTTGGAGGATTGCTCAAGTTCTTGGGCCGAAGAAGAATTGGGGTTGAGCTGGAAGACTGTAATGTCAGCGTCCCCATCCTGGGCTTTAAGAAATTTGTGTTGTAGGTGATTCACTCTACTATCAACCAAAGTAAAGTGGGACTGGGAGGCTTAAAAAGTGAGCCTCAGGGCTGGGAAGGTGGCTCAGTGGTAGAGCACTTGTCTTGCATGCCTGAGGCCCTGGGTTCAATTCCTCAGCACCACATAAAAAGAAAAAAGCCAGTTTTTTCTTTCATACATGTGTTTCTAACGCATTTATAAGATTATCTCTTTGTTGCTTTGTATGTCCCTCCCCCACAGTATAACCCCTGCTTTCACTATATTTGATGTCAGTATAACTTGTGGAGGAGATGGGGAAAAACCAGTTGTTTAAGGATACAGGTGGATCTGATGCAACAATGAGAAGTACAAGTTGTCATGTCCAAAACGAGCTTTACAACGTCGGTGGGGGGGGGAGGGGAAAGGGGGGGGGGGAAGGGGGGAAGGAGAAGGATTGGGATGGGGGGGGAGGGGGGAGGCTGGGAAGGGATGGGAAGGGTAAACAAAGGAGGAGGCTGCAATGCTTGGTAAGAAATGTATGCATTATCCTGCCCATGCAATTGTAACCCCTCTGTACAGTTTGTTCACAAATAAAATAAAATAAAATTAAAAAAAAAAAAGCCAGAAGTGGCGCTTGGCTCAAGTGGTAGAACGCTAGCCTTGAGCTGAAGAGCTGAGGGACAGCACCCAGGCCCAGAGTTCAGGCCCCACGACCAGACCCAAAAATAAATAAATAAAAAATAAAGTGAGCCTCAGGTTTGGGGATAGGGGCAGCAAGCCAGTGGGTGAAATGTGCTGGGACACACAGGATAAAAGGGGCAGTGAAGCTGTGGGGAGAAGATGGAAATAATATTCAGAGAGGGGAGACAAGGAGTGGAGTTTCAGAATAAACGCAGATCTCTCATATCCCAGCTATCTTATCTCTGTTTTCTGTCCTCAGGACCCATCTGGTGAGCATAGATCAAGACACTTACAGGTGAGGAGGTAGAGGCAGTCTGCCATTCTGGGGAGAGAAAAGGATTGAGTCTAATGCTAATCATCTTAAAGAGGCTTTAGTTTCCCCAATCCTAGGGCTCTTAAGGTCTCTGTCCCTGAAGGAAAAGAAAGGATGATAGGTGAAAGAAGATAAAGGGAAGGAAGGGAGAAAAGCATGAAGGTCTTTCTACCCTTTCTTCCAGCTTCCATGCCTCCCTCCCTTTTCTCTTTCCTTCCCTTTTCAGTGTTGGGAATGGGAATGGAAGCCCACGCCTGCTGCATGCTGGGCACATTCTTTTCCCTTGAGCTATGGCCCCAGTCTATCATCCTCCTTTTCTGAAGGGAGAAACTGAGGCACAGAAAGATAAGGGATAAATCTTGCATCAAGATAGTCTCTGGGGTGGGAACTCGCCTCAAGTGCTAGAGCAGTTGCCCATTGTACACAAAGTTCTGGGTTTAATGCCCCCAGAGTGTGTTGGGGGAATATAATCTCAGGAACATTGTCCTGATCCTCATTCTGTTTTTTTTCAATCATCAATTCCCTTTCCCTTAAAAAAATCCAGGTTATCCCCAAACTCTTCCATTTCTCCCTGACAGTGTTCTACAGATTTTTAAGAGTGAGTCTCATCCCTCGGTGTACAAAGTGGCCAGTGGACTGAAGGAGGGGCTCAGCCTCTTTGGTAGGTGTGCCCATTCTTCTCCACATGCTATACAAAAGCAGTTGGCTGCCAAGATAAATCTCAGCCCATTTCTTCCCCTTGCAGTCCCATTGCCAATTTTCTCTTTCATGTCAATCCAGCTTTCTGGATTGTAACTCCTCAGAGTTTGTACCTGCTGTGAATTTTACCTGCTCCTTTATCTCTCACTCAGTGTTCTCTGCATCAGCTGCAACAACCAATTCTGTATTCATTCCTGGGTCTATATGAATGTTTCTTCTAGTTGGGAACCTGTGACTTTAGGAGGTCCTGTTGAAAGGAGTTATGTCACTATGGTAACTCCCTCTAGTTGATTTGCAGTCTTTATCACATACCTATGGCTTTAGAGTATATTAAGGACATGACTGCAAGTATCTGCAAGTATCTCAGTGGGTTGTATGTAATTTTTATGTATGTGTATTGGACTCTCGGTGAGTCATAGCTAGGCCTGTTCCAAATGTTTTTCTGGCTGAGTGTTCCTGTGAGTGTCCATTCCATCCCACATGTCCATGTATGGTAATGCCAGACCAACTTTGTGGCTAGATGCCAACTTTGGCAGCTTTTTTACTGTATATCTGAATCCATAAGCCATCTTGCCTTATAAAAAGTACATTCCCTCCCCTCTTACCCCCAGGAATCCTCAACAGATGCCGCTGTAAGTGGGGAGAGAAGCTGCTCAGGTGAGTGGGCTCAGACACACTACATACACACATGCCTGAGTTCTGTGTGTATACCATATACTGATGTCTACTTATTGTCTATAGACCCCCACACACCACCCTATCTACTACCCTTTATTGAATACTGGCTAAATGCACTAATTATTCTAGTAGCACCATGTAGTAGCTGCTGTTGCCTTCAATTTATGTTTTTAGCACAGATATACAATAACTATTGATGATACAGACTTGCATACACACAAGTAGCAGGAACAAGACCACAGACACTAGTTTAGCATAGGGTAATATCTTTAATAAATAAAAAAATCATTTCATATGTCAACTGGATGTGAAAGTGCATACCTCTAACCCCAGCTCTTCCCAGGCTAAAGAAGGATTGAAGCTGGGCACTGGTAGCTCATTCATGTAGTCCAAGCTCCTTAGGCAGCTGAGATCTGAGGTTTACAGTTCAAGCCAGGTCAGGAAAGTCCATGAGACTTTTATCTCCAAAATATTACCAAAACATCAGGAAGTGGAGCTGTGGCTCAAATGGTAGAGCACTAACTTTGAGCAAAAGAAGCTCAGGGAGCCGGGTGCTGGTGGCTCACACCTGTAATCCTAGCACTCAGGAGGCTGAGATCTGAGGATCATGGTTTAAAGCCAGCCTGGGCAGGAAAGTCTGTGAGACTCCTATTTCCAATAAACCACCAGAAAACTGGGAGTGGCGCTGTGACTCAAGTGGTAGAGTGCTCAACTTGAGCTGAAGAGCTGAGGGACAGCGCCCAGGCCCAGAGTTCAAGCCCCATGACCAACAAAAAAAAAAAAAGAAGGAAGAAGCTCAGGGACAGCTTCCAGGCCCTGAGTTCGTCCCAGGACTCCCCCCTGCAAAAAAAGAAAGAGGCGGGGGGGGGAGGGAGGGAAGGAAGGAAGGAAAGAAGATGAGGGGGATTGTGAGTTTAAGGCCAACCTGGGATACATAGCAAAGCAAAAAGCAAAAACAAATACTTAAGTGGTCTAGGGATCCAGAATGGTAGAATATTTGCCCTAGGTTCTGACCCTGGCAAAGCAAAATAACAAAACCAAACAACATCAAAAAGACCCACACCACATCTCAAAAATACTTTTCCAATGAGCTATTTTCTGATGACTCAAATTAGTTTTTAAACTCTGTATGTAGAATTCTAATTGCATATAATTGCCACACATAGTTTCTACAGGCACCTCAAAGTCAGATCATCCATACTGATGCCCTACAGACCTGCTCTTCTTCCTGCATCTTTAAAAAATTTTTATTTTTTGGTTAATGGCATTGCTGGCGGTATACTTTTCAAGCTATGAACTCTGGATTGATGCTTATCCTTCACTCCATATTCAATTATTCACTAATGTCTCTTGATCCTATCCCAAAATCTCAGCCATCGCTTTCACCCTCTTCCCACTGCTTCAGTTCTGGCAATCATGATTTCTAACCTGGAGCATTTGGCTCCAGATTGGTTTCTTCTAATTTCTTCTTTTTCCATTCAATCCTTCTAAACTACCAACTATTCCAACACAGAGATATGAGCATATTATACACTTTTATTTATTTATTTTGTGGTGCTGAGGAATCGAACCCAGGGCCTCATGCATGCAAGGCAAGCACTCTTACCACTGAGCCACCTTCCCAGCATTATAGGCTTTTATTAAAAAACTTTAAGTAGAAACAAAATAACAGGATGAAGATTAGCATGTGTAGTGGTATGAGGTTGCAGTAGGAGGTTCGGGCTCACATTCTTACACTCCTCAGAAGTCCTTTCCTATTTAATCCAGCTTGTATTCTATTCATTTCGGACTTCTTGTCATTGTAGAAATAGATCATACCAGCCGGGCGCTGGTGGCTCACGCCTGTAATCCTAGCTACTCAGGAGGCTGAGATCTGAGGATCGCAGTTCAAAGCCAGCCCGGGCAGGAGAGACCGTGAGACTCCTATCTCCAATAAACCACCAGAAAACCGGAAGTGGCGCTGTAGCTCAAGTGGTAGAGTGCTCGCCTTGAGCTGAAGAGCTGAGGGACAGCGCCCAAGCCCAGAGTTCAAGCCCAACGACCGCAAAAAAAAAAAAAAAAAAGAAATAGATCATACCCATGTTTATCATTTTTCACTCTGGAAAGTCTTTTGCCTGTTTCTTCCTTGTAAAAAAAACTTCAAGATTAGTCAGGTGCCGTTGGCTCAAGCCTGTAATCCTAGCTACTCAGGAGGCTGAGATCTGAGGATCACAGTTCAAAGCCAGCCCGGGCAGGAAAGTCCATGAAACTATTATCTTCAATAAACTACCAGCAAACTGTGGTTCAAGTGGTAGAGCACTAGCCTTGAGCTGAAGAACTGAGGGACAGCACCCAGGCCCAGAGTTCAAGCCCCACAACCGACAAAAAAACAAAAACAAAAAAACAAACAAAAGCCTTCAAGATTCAAATCAGCTGATTTATTTTCTTTCTTTCCTTCCTTCTTTCCTCTTTTATTTTTAACCAGTCCTAGAGCTTGAACTCAGGCCTTGGGCCCTGTCCCTGAGCCCCTCTCTGCTCAAGGCTAGTACTCTACCACTTGAGCCACAGTGTCATTTCTGGCTTCTCTGTTTATATGGTACTGAGGAATCGAGCCCAGGGCTTCATGCATGCTAGGCAAGCAGTCTGCCACTAAGCCACATTCCCAGTCCTTCTTTCCTCCTTCTTGCCTCCCTTTCTCCTCCTTTCTTCCTTCCTTCCCTCCCTTCTTCCTTTACCCTTCCTCCCTTCCTTCCTTTCTTTCATGCTAGCAATGGGATTGGAACTCAGGGCCTCACTTTCTCATTTGGCTTTTTTTTCCGCTCAAAACTGGCATTCTACCACTTGAGCCAACCTCCACTTCCAGCTTCTGTCTCTCAGATTTGTCTGCTTACGCTAGTTTTGAACCTCAGATCTTAGCCTGCTGAGTAACTAGAATTAATTACAATTGTGAGTTACCTGTATCTGGTCAACTATCAACTTTCTGATGAAAATTTTACAAGCACCTCTAAGGGGGATGGAGGTATGACTCAATTGGTAGAGTTCCTGCTAGCAAGTATAAAGCCCGGAGTTCAAATCCCAGTGCAACGAAAACAAAAACCTTTTTTTTTTTTGCCAGTCCTGGGCTTTGAATTCAGGGTCTGGGTACTATACCTGACCTTCTTTTGCTCAAGGCTGACACTTTGCCACTTGAGCCACAGCTCCATTTCCAGCTTTTTTGGTAGTTTATTGGAGATTAGAGTCTCACTGAAGTCAATGTCTTGGCTGGCTTTAAACCTTGGTTTTCAGATCTCAGCCTCCTGAGTAGCTAGGATTACAGGTGTGAGCCACCAGTGCCTGGCTAGAGGTTGTTGTTTTGTCCATCGTGGGGCTTGCACTCAGGGCCTAGGCTCTGTCTCTGACCTCTTTTGCTCAAGGCTAGTGCTCTACCCTTTGAGCCACGGCTCTACTTCTTATTTTCTGGTGATTAATTGGAAATAAGTCTCACGGGCTTTCCTGCCCCAGGGTTGGCTTTGAACCTTAATCTTCAGATCTCAGTCTCCTGAGAAGCTAGGATTACAGGTGTGAATCATCAGCACCCAGATATGCAACCTTTTTTTTTTTTTGTCGGTCGTGGGGCTTGAACTCTAGGCCTGGGCGCTGTCCCTCAGCTCTTCAGCTCAAGGAGTGCTCTACTGCTTGAGCCACAGCGCCACTTCCAGATATACAACCTTTTGATGTGCACTTTTCTTGTGTTATATAGTGCTTGTGTGTGTGTGTGTGTGTTTGTGCTGGTCCTGTGCTTGAACTCAGGTCCTGAGTATTGTCCCTGAGCTTCTTTTGCCTAAGGCTAATGCTCTACTATCCAGCCAGAACTTCACTTCTGGCTTTTTGGGGATAGTTTATCAGAAATAAGAGTTTTATGGAGTTTTCTGCCTGGGACTGCTTTGAATTGCAGTCCTCAGATCTTAGTCTCCTGAGTAGCTAGAATTACAGGTTTGAGCCACTGATGCCTGGCTTCATTTACGTTTTTCAGTTCCACTGTCATAGCAAGTTAGAATTAGTCATTAGAGAATCTTCTTGTTTCTGTAACTGTGAACTCTGTCCAGTGGTCATTTCTATTACTTCAGTGCCTGACCTATGGACTTGTAGGTGGAGTACTCTGAGTAAACATAACATACAAATCCAAGCATACCATTCATATCATCTCTAAAAACTCAGAGTGAAGTGCTGGTGGCTCACACCTGTAATCCTAGCTACTCAGAAGGCTGAGATCTGAGGATTGCAATTTGAAGCCAGATGAGGTAGTAAAGTTTGTGAGACTCTTATCTCCCGTTAACCACCAGAAAACGAACTGAGCTGTGGTTCAAGGGGTAGGGTGCTAACCTTGAGTAGAAAAGCTCAAGGACAGTGCCTAGACCCTGAGGTGAGGCCTCATAATCAACCAAAAAAATAAATAAATAAGGCTGGGAATGTGGCTTAGTGGTAGAGTGCTTACCTAGAATGCATGAAGCCCTGGGTTCAATTCCTCAGCACCACATAAATAGAAAAAGCCAGAAGTGGTGCTATGGCTCAAGTGGTAGAATGCTAGCCTTGAGCAAAAGAAGCTCAGGGACAGTGTCCAGGCCCTGAGTTCAAGCCCCAGGACTGGCAATGATAATAATGATAACAACAAAAACAACAACCCATAGTGGAAACCTTCGCTAGCCTACAGGAGCACAATCCTTTTCCCACAACCCTCTGGAGGGGGATTAATTTAGAATAATCTCTGAGGTCATCTGCAGGCAATTGGTAGGGTAATTGAAATACTCCAGTGCTTCAAGTTTAAATCTCTAATCTCAATCAGGGATGAAAGGAAGGAATTCTCTGTCCATGAGCCTAAAACACCCTGTCCTCACATGGACAGAGCATTTTGATCACAAGATCACCACGTGAACAGGGCATTTTAGGCACGTGGACAGGGCACTTTGATCACGTGATCAGCACGTGGACAGGGCACTTTAATCACGTGATTACCACGTGGACAGGGCATTTTGATCACATGATCACCACGTGGACAGGGCTGGACAGGGCTTTTTCGGCACCTGGACAGGGCACTTTGATCACGTGATCACCACGTGGACAGGGCATTTTGATCATGAGATCACCACGTGGACGGGGCGTTTTGATCAGGTGATCACCACGTGGACAGGACTTTTTTTTAGGCACCTGGACAGGGCACTTTGATCACGTGATCACCACATGGATAGGGCATTTGATCATATGATCATCAGGTGAACAGGGCTTTTTAAGCACGTGGACAGGGCGTTTTGATCACGTGATCACCATGTGGACAAAGGCATTTTAGGCACCTGGACAGGGCACTTTGATCACGTGATCACCACGTGGATAGGGCATTTGATCATATGATCATCAGGTGAACAGGGCTTTTTAAGCACGTGGACAGGGCCTCTTGATCACGTGATCATCATGTGGACAGGGCAGTTGATTATGTGATCATCACATGGACAGGGCTTTTTAGGCACGTGGATAGGGCACTTTGATCACGTGATTACCACGTGGACAGGACATTTGATCACGTGATCATCATGTGGACAGGGTTTTTTAGGCATGTGGACAGGGCATTTTGATCATGTGATCATCACGTGGACAGGGCGTTTTAGTCACTTGGACACGGCACTTTGATCACGTGATCACCATGTGGACAGGGCATTTTGATCACCTGATCATCATGTGGACAGGACACCTTATCACATGATCGCCACGTGGACAGGGCATTTTGATCATGTGATCATTACGTGGACAGGGAGTTTTAGGTACATGATCATCACGTGGACAGGGCTTTTTATGCATGTGGACAGGGCACCTTGATCACGTGATCGCCACGTGGACAGGGTACTTTGATCACGTGACCATCACGTGGACAGGGCATTTTAAGCACCTGGACAGGGCACTTTGATCACCACTTGGAGAGGGCATTTTGATCACGTGATCACGTGGACAGGGCTTTTTAGGCACATGGATGCCAAACTTTGATCACGTGATCATCATGTGGACAGGGCCTTTTAGGCACATGGACAGGGCACTTTGATCACGTGATCACCACGTGGACAGTACATTTTGATCACATGATCCTCACGTGGACAGGGCGTTTTAGGCATGTGGAGAGGACATTTTGATCAAGTGATCATCATGTGGACAGGGTGTTTTAGGCACGTGGACAGGGCACTTTGATCGCGTGATCACCACGTAGAGAGGGCGTTTTAGGGACGTGGACTGGACATTTTGATCATGTGATCATCAAGTGGACAGGGTGTTTTAGTCACGTGGACAGGGCACTTTGATCACATGATCAGCATGTGGACAGGGCACTTTGATCACGTGATCATCACGTGGACAGGATATTTTGATCATGTGATCACCACGTGGACAGGGCATCTTAGGCACGTAGACAGGGCAATTTGATCACGTGATCACCACGTGGACTGGGCATTTTGATCACGTGATCATCATGTGCACAGGGCATTTTAGGCATGTGGACAGGACATTTTGGTCACGTGATCATCACGTGCACAGGGCGTTTTAGGCACGTGGACAGGACATTTTGGTCACATGATCATCACGTGGACAGGGAGTTTTAGGCACGTGGACAGGGCATTTTGAACACGTGATCACCACGTGGACCGGGCATTTTGATCACGTGATCATCACGTGCACAGGGCGTTTTAGGCACGTGAGCAGGACATTTTGGTCACATGATCATCACATGGACAGGGAGTTTTAGGCACGTGGACAGGGCATTTTGAACACGTGATCACCACGTGGACAGGGCGTTTTAGGCACGTCGACAGGGCACTTTGATCACGTGATCACCATGTGGACAGGGCACTTTGATCACGTGATCATCATGTGGACAGGGCGTTTTAGGCACGTGGTCAGGGCATTTTGATCATGTGATCACCACGTGGTCAGGGCTTTTTAGGCTTGTGGACAGGGCATTTTGATCACGTGTTCAGCACGTGGACAGGGCATTTTAGGCACGTGGATAGAGCACTTTGATCTGGGTTCAGATGTTTCATATGTGATAGGCAGGCTCTGATATCATGAGTAGAAGGATGAACTAAGGACCCCACTGGCTTAAAGCTGACAGGGTGCTTAGAAGACAACTAAATGTCACAGTATGCTTTAAGGAGCACTGTCCTGGCAGTCTGAAGAGCTGAGTTTGAGACCCAGATGAACTTCTTATTAGCAGTGCTGTGGATCTGTGAAGAGCCTCATTTCCTTAGCTATAAAATTAGGCAATTTGGCTTGACTAAGATCTGCTAAGGCATTAGCAAAACATCAGACAGGGATATCTAGATGTTTCACAAAATGTCTGCTTAATGAGGCTCATATGCTCTCCAAAAGTGGGACAGATATACATTGCTGTGACAGAAGCCCTCCCCCTGTGACCAAGGAGAAAGTAGACATTTTTTAAATCCACCCTTGAATTAACTGGTTCTTCTGTTTCATTCTAGTTGGAGGCTCTGCCCCAGGGTAACTGATTATAGACTAAATGTGAGATGTGTATCCTCAGGCTCCAGTGTTTCCACACACTGGCTCTTTGATAAAATGCTTAATGGTTTGTTCTAATGTAGAAAAGAATCCCTGGGCTCAACTTCTTAGTTTCACTTTTTTTTTTTTAAATCGGTCCTGGGGCTTGAACTCTGGTTCTAGGCACTGTCCCTCAGCTTTCAGCTCAAGGCTAGCACTCTACCACTTGAGCCACAGCACCACTTCCAGCTTTTTCTGTTTATGTGGTGCTGAGGAATCAAACCCAGAGCCTCATACATGTGAGGCAAGCACTCTACCACTGAGCCACCTTCCCAGCTCCCCTGGCTGGCTTTGAACCACGATCTCCAGATCTCAGCCTCCCAAGTAGCTAGGATTACAGGTGTGAGTCACTAGTGCCCTCCTAAGAGACTCTTATCTCCAATAAACCACCAGAAAACTGAGATGGTGCTATGACTGGGAGAGCACTAGCCTTGAGCTGAGGGACAGCGCCCAGGTCCAGAGTTCAAGCCCCATGACCAAGGAAAAAACAAACAAACCCATCTAAGCAATAGTACCCAGACACAATGCTCAAGCCTTAGTACTGGTAAGACAGAAAGAAAAGAAAAGATCAGAGAGAGGGAGGGAGAGAGGACGAAAAGAAAGAAAAGAAGAAAAAAGCCAGGTGCTAGTGGCTCACACTCGTAATCCTAGCTTCTCAGGAGGCTAAGATCCAAGGGTGGGGTTTGAGCCAGCAAGGGAGGAAAGTTTGTGAGACTCTCATCTCCAATAAACTATTCAGAAAAAAATGGAAGTGGTGCTGTGGCTCATGTGGTAGAACGCTATCCTTGAACAAAAGAAGGTCAGGGACAGTGCCCAGAACTAGAATTTAAGCCCCATGACCAGAGGGGGGGTCGGAGGGGGAGAGAAAAGACAATCTTCATTGATGCTTCTCAAATGACCCTCCCCTCCTCAAATATTTTTCCTTGCAGAGATAGACTTTACTATGACTTACAGGCTTACTGCACATGGAATAGTTAATGTAATTTCCCAGGAAGAACTTGAAAAGACAAATATCTGTGCTATTACCCAGAGATACTTCACAGCTAAATACAGATATGCAAACTCGTACTGACTCACCCTCTCCCACTCCACCACAGAGAGAGCAACAGTGTTGGCACACAAATACTTTAACACACTGCTCTCCTAAAATATTGACAAGCTCCATCACACATCCACATGGAATAACAAATGGTCTTATCTATCAAAAGCATCCTATACACAGTTTTGTTGTAACCATTTTTCTTTTTGTTTTTCTTTTTTGGGTCCAGTCGTGGGGCCTGAACTCTGGGCTTGGGCGCTGTCCCTCAGCTCTTCAGCTCAAGGCTAGCGCTCTACCGCTTGAGCCACAGCACCACTTCTGGCTTTTTTCTTTTTGCTTATTTGGTACTGAGGAATCAAACCCAGGGCCTCATGCATGCAAGGCAAGCGCTCTACCACTGAGCCACCTTCCCAGCCCGCAGCCATTTTTCAATAAACACACATAAGCACCCACATAGGTAGGACTCTGCCTTTGCCAGAATAATTCCTATAACAAGTCAGAAATACATATTGCCACAATCCCCAAGGAAGGACTTCCAAATACATTTTAGAAACTTGAGACAAAGACAAGAACGAGTACAAGTGTGATTTCTAAGCTTTCCATCCCAACTCTCACTTCCAGGCTATGGTTCACACGTCCAACACAGGACCTCGGGGAGCTCAATTCACGTCTAGACGTCATACAGTTTTTTCTGCTGCCCCAGAATCTGGACATGGCTCAGATGCTGCACAGGCTCATGAGTCACATCAAGAACGTGCCTGTGAGCCCAAGATGGGGATCAGGGATGGGGGAAAGGAGGTTGAGGGCTAACAGTGGATGATGTGTTTCTTGAGAGACATCCTGGCAGGAGAGGGGAAAGTGACTGTTTCCTTATCTGCCTTTAGCTTATTCTGAAACGCATGAAGCTGTCTCACACCAAGGTCAATGACTGGCAGGTTCTGTATAAGGTAAGACCTCCCCTTTCATTTATTTATTTATTTTTAATCTTGCTCTGGTAGCCTATGCTAAGCCTCCAATACACGATCCTTTTACCTCTGCTCTCCTGAGTGCCACTACACTCCATGTAAGGCCTCCTTCTAAACTCTTGAAGTCCAAGTTAAATTTGAACTATGTTCCTCTACACTGGTCACTCTGTCCAACTTTATCCTATTACTCTTAAAAACAGAAACACTGGGGGCTGGGAAGGTGGCTCAGTGGTAGAGCGCTTGCCTTGCAAGCCTGAGGCCCTGGGTTCGATTCCTCAGCACCATATAAGCAAAAAAGAAAAAACCCGGAAGTGGCACTGTGGCTCAAGTGGTAGAGTGCTAGCCTTGAGCTGAAGAGCCGAGGGACAGCGCCCAGGCCCAGAGTTCAGGCCCCACAACCGGACCCAAAAAAAAAAAAAAAAACAGAAACACTGGCTGGGCGCTGCAGCTCACACCTATAATCCTAGCTACTCAAGAGGCTGAGATCTGAGGATTGTGTTTCAAAGCCAGCCCAGGCAGGAAAGTCTGTGAGATTCTTATTTCCATTTAACCACCAGAAAACCAGAAGTGGCACTGTGGCTCAAGCTGTAGAGCACTTGCCTTGAGCTGAAGAGCTCAGGGACAGTGCCCAGGCCCAGAGTTCAAGCCCCACGACTGTCAAAAAAAATAAAGAAAACAAGTGGTTTGGTTTTTTTTTTTGTTTTTGTTTTTTCTTTTGGTCAGTTGTAGAGCTTGAAACTCAGGGCCTGGGCACTGTCCTGATTTTTTTCACTCAAGGCTAGTGCTCTAACACTCCAAACCACAGTGCCATTTCCAGTTTTCTGGTGGTTAACTGGAGATAAGAGTCTCACAGAATTTTCTGCCCAGGCTGGCTTCGAATCATAATCCTCAGATCTCAGCCTCCTGAGTAGCTAATATTACAGGCATGAGCCACTGTCACCCAGCTAATGGACCTCTCTCTTGCTTAGCTTTTTCACTGAAAGCTAACACTTTACCATTTGAACCATCCCTCTACCTTCACTCTCAGATTTTTATTGGTTAGTTGGACATGAGAGTCTAAACCTCCCAGATTTGTCTGCCTGACATGGCTTTGAACTGGGATCCTCAGATATCAGCCTTCTGGGTCGCTAGAATTGCAGGTATAAGCTACCAGTGCCTGGCTTAAAACAAAACAAAATAAAAACCCACCTTTGTATTGTGGAAAGTATCAAAAAATATTTACAGGCCAGGGCTGGTGACTTACTAGCTCTAACCCTAGCTTCTCAGTAGATGAGATTTGAGGACTGAGGTTGGAAGCCAGCCTAGATTGACAAAATTGATACTCTCATCTCCAATTATCCAGCAAAAAAGCCCCAAATAGAGGTATGGCTTAAGTGGTGGAGCATAAGCCTGGTGAGAGGCCCTGAGTTTGTGCCCCAGTACTGGCACATACATAAAAAAGAATTTAGAGCCCGTGGCTCAGGCCTGTAATCCTAGCTACTCAGAAGGCCAAGATCTGAGGATTGTGATTCAAAGCCAGACTGGGCAGAAAAGTCCCTGTGAGACTCTAATCTTCAATTAACCATTCAAAAACAGGTAGTGGAAGTATGGCTCAACGTGGTAGAGTGCTAGTTTTGGGCAAAATTGCTCAGGGACAGTGCCCAGGCCCTGAGATCAAGCTCCATGTCTGACAGGGGAAAAAAAAAGAATTTAGAGAAAATAGTATAATTAATCCCTTATACCACTATGTAGTTACTGCACTACAATTAATGCCAATCGTGTTTTATCTATATTTCTTTCACTTTCACTTCTTATTTTTTTGAGTCAACATACATTTGTAACATGAGATTTTATGGTGATATTTCCCTTTTTGCACGCAGTATACTTTGAACAACTTCATCTCCTCTGTCATATTCCCTTACCTTTCTCCTCTCCTAACACTTGGGAGGCCAAGAATGATTAAATAATTGCTCTAGAGTTATCTTTGTTTGTACCATTAGTGTTTTAGAAAACAAGTTATTTCCTTTTTAGCTGTTTTTTATCTTTCAGCTCTTTGTCTTTGTTTGTGCTGGTTATTTTTTAGATAGTCTCGCTTCCTGTTCAGGGGCACCTGTATCTTAAGCCACCTATTTTTGGCTTTCTGTGCATCCTGCACCACCATATCCATCTTCTCCTTTTGAGATGGAGTCTTAAAGACTTCTCTGGCCCAGTGCTGGTAGCTTATGCCTGTAATCCTAGCTACTCAGGAAGCTGAGGTCTGAGGATTGAACGTTCAAAGCCAGACCAAGCAGGAAAGTCTGTGAGACCCTTATCTCCAATTAGCCACCAGAAAATTGGAAGTGGAGCTGTGGTTCAAAGTGACAGAGTGCTGGCCTTGAGCAAAAGAGCATAGGGACAGTGCTCAGACCCTGAGTTCAAGCCCCAGGACTGACCAAAAAAAAAAAAAGACTTCTCTGCCCAACTTGTCCTCAGACTGTGATCCTCCAAATTTCAGACCTCCAAGTCACTAGGATTACAAGCAACTCTTTTTCTTTTTCTCTCTCTCTTTCTTTCTTTCTTTTTCCAGTTGTGGGGCCTGAACTCTGGGCCTGGGCGCTGTCCTTCAGCTCTTCAGCTCAAGGCTAGCGCTCTATCACTTAAGCCACAGTGCCACTTCCAGCTTTTTCTGCTTATGTGGTGCTGAGGAATCGAACCCAGGGTCTCATGCATGCACTCTACCACTGAGCCACCTTCCCAGCCCTCTTTTTTTGTTATTTTTACTTTATGTGTCTTCTCACGTTGGTTTTTGTTCTTCTCAGTCTGTCCATATCCCCTCCCCTTAGCTCACCTGAGTGGGGGTCATCTCCCTCATTGAGTTTCTCCTGCAGACGGTGTACAGCGCCCTGGGTCTGAGAGACGCCTGCCGCTCCCTGCCTCAGTCCATCCAGCTTTTTCGGGACATTGCCCAAGAGTTCTCTGATGATCTACACCACATCGCCAGCCTCATTGGGAAAGTGGTAAGTAGAAGGAAAGAGTCAGGGCACCCGGGGAGATAGGGAAAAGAATGGCGAAGAACGGGGGTGTGGGGAAGGTGGTGTGGGAGATGAGGAAACGTGTGAGCCCATGAGGTGTAACAGAACATTGGGTGCGTTTGCAGGGTGCAGGTTCTTGGACGGCAAGGGAAAAGCTGAGGGACAGGACAGAGGTGTGACGCTGGGTGATAAGAAATGGACTCTCCTTTATCTCCGCAGGTGGACTTTGAGGGCAGTCTTGCTGAAAATCGCTTCACTGTCCTCCCCAACATAGATCCTGAAATCGATGAGAGTGAGGGCTGAGTATGGGGTGTGCCTGTGAGCCCTGCAGTGGGGTGCGCCCCCCCTCAGCAAGCCGCCCCCACAGCTGGGGGTCATCATAAAACGAGAGCAAGGTCCTCACTCTTCATACCCATGTGTCTTCCATGTTCCTAGAAAAACGAAGGCTGATGGGTCTTCCCAGTTTCCTCACTGAAGTGGCTCGGAAAGAGCTGGAGAATCTGGACTCGCGTATCCCTTCGTGCAGTGTCATTTACATCCCTCTGGTGCGGGAAGGGGAGGAGGTGGAAGCCCATGGGGTCTTTTTGAGGTCCTATTAGGCTTATGGAGGCCATATTAGTAGCTAAGAGAACTTGTGGGGAATGTCATTTTTGTGTCACCCCCAGAAGGAAGGCCTGGGGGATACATACAAGAGTCTTAGGTTTCCCCTAAGGAAAAAAGGTACCCCCCCAATCCTATGTCTTTACTCTCCCCAGATCGGCTTCCTCCTTTCTATTCCCCGCCTGCCATCTATGGCAGAAGCCAGTGACTTTGAGATCGAGGGACTGGACTTTATGGTGAGTCTCCACCTGCCCGGGACTGATTAAGGAAAACAAATCTGCAAGTGAAGGAAGGATCTTACGCCATCACCACTGCCCATTTTGTGATCTCCTCTGTGGTTTTACTTTGAGATCACCACCTCTGAGACAAAGGAAAAAAGTCAAGTTGGGGGTACTAAAGGCTGAGCGAGAGAGTGGGAGGGTTGAGAAGGATCAAGAGATGTAACGCCCATAGCTTTGAACTCTCGTACTCAGTTTCTCTCAGAGGAGAAGCTGCACTATCGGAGCGCTCGAACCAAGGAGCTGGATGCACTACTGGGAGACCTGCACTGTGAAATCCGGGGTGAGAGGAGTGAAGTTGGTGGGAGGTGGGCAGCTAGCTGAGTCTCCAATGGCCTCCTCTTCTTGCTGTGTCTCTCTTACTCTGCTCTACATCGTCCCCATCTCTGACAGTCTCAGGCTCTGTCTTAGTTTCTGCATGCCTGGTTCCAGGTTTCTTTGTGGTCTCTGTCTTTCCTGCACTGTGCTCTGAAGCTGACTCTCGGCTCCCTCCCTCACCTGCCCCCAGACCAGGAGACCCTGCTGATGCACCAGCTGCAGTGTCAGGTGCTGGCGCGGGCAGCTGTCTTGACACCGGTATTGGACCTTGCTGCCCGCCTGGATGTCCTCCTGTCTCTTGCCAGTGCTGCCCGGGAGTATGGCTACTCAAGACCCCGCTACTCTTCCCAGCTCCATGGAGTAAGAATCCAGAATGGCAGGTAAGAACAAAGGGGGTGTTGATGGATACACAAGATGCCCAGAGGCCCCTTGTCTGAGGTGGAGCTGGGGTTACCCATCTGGATGCATGGGTCATATAAAGTGCCCCTCTGCCCACCACAGACACCCTCTGATGGAACTGTGTGCAAGAACCTTTGTGCCCAACTCCACAGAATGTGGTGAGGACAAAGGGAGAGTCAAAGTCATCACTGGACCCAATTCCTCAGGGAAAAGCATATATCTCAAACAGGTGAGAAGCCCAACATCCTGGCCCTCTACTGTCTTCCCCCGCCCCCCTGCTACCCCTGCCCAGCCAGCCAACCCAAGTCCTCTGCTCTTCCATCTTGTATTCTCATTTTCTACCTGAGAACCATGTTCTAAGAGATCATGCCGTGACTTGAATTCCCATGATCCACCTCTAAATAGGTCCATGCTATTTCCAAATAGGCCTCTGCTCTGTCCAAAGCTGGGGTGGGTGGCAGTGTGTTGTATACCTTTGTTCTTCTGTTACCCAGTAGCCATCTCTCTCTCTATCATCCTTGGCCTCAGCTAAGCCTCACGTTTACTTTCACCCACACCGCCAGTCTCTGAGTCCTGTCTCCTCTCCTGTTCAGGTTGGCTTGATCACTTTCATGGCCTTGGTGGGGAGCTTTGTGCCAGCGGAGGAGGCAGATATTGGGGCAGTGGATGCCATCTTCACCCGAATTCACAGCTGTGAATCCATTTCCCTCGGCCTCTCAACCTTCATGATTGATCTCAATCAGGTCAAAAGGAGCGAAGGAAGGAGGGATCAGGATGGGGACAATGAGGAAGGAACTGTCTCAGCAGAGCTCAGAATGTAATACCAAAAACACTTCTTGAGAACTGGGTCCTGGTGGCTCACGGCTGTAATCCTAGCTACTCAGGAGGCTGAGATCTGAGGATCGCAGTTCAAAGCCAACCCAGGCAGTTAAGTCCATGAGATTCTTATCTCAAATTAACCACCAGAAAAAAAACCTGGAAGTGACACTGTGGCTCCAAGTGGTAGAAAGCTAGCCTTGAGGGAAAGGGTTCAGAGACAGTGTCTAGCCCCGGTACACACACACACAGACAAAAGTAAAAACAATACCTCTTGAACCTTTGCTTTATGTGAGGCAAGGAAAGAATGAACAAAATGTGGATCATTAGAGGCCTTGCGTGCTAATGGAGCTTCCTTGTCCACCTTATGCCCACTAGGTGGCGAAAGCAGTGAATAATGCCACTGAGCAGTCTCTGGTCCTTATTGATGAATTTGGGAAGGGAACCAACACGGTGAGAGGGGAACTGGGGAGAGGGGGAGGGAGAGGGAGGAGGATGGAGACGCAGTTGAGTGTAGCCAGGCTTGGGAAACAACACGGATGTATGGGCAGAAAAGAAATAGAGAATGTGAGACGGGGCAAGGCCAGGGCAGATGTAGAAGGGTGCTGCTTGTAGCTCTACCCCTCCCTCCTGCCCTCCGTGCAGGTGGATGGACTGGCACTTCTGGCTGCCGTGCTTCGACATTGGCTGGCGCTTGGACCCATGTGCCCCCACATTTTTGTGGCCACCAACTTCTTGAGCCTTGTTCAGCTACAGCTACTACCTCAGGGACCCCTGGTACACTATTTGGTGAGGAAGCCAATCTACCTCAGGGACCCTTAAATGGAGCATTTCCCCAGTGTAAGGATTGGCTCCTCTATCAGAGCAGGGGTTCCCCAAGCAGGAGCCACGTTCCTGTCCTCTTCTCAGTCTGCACAGGAATTGCCCAAGCTTTTTCCCTCCTGGGCAGGAAGCAGGGTGGTTGATGACACACTGTCCGCCCCCCCTCACACCCTGCTTTTACAGATTTTTTTTCTTTTAAACTTTATGTGGTACAGAGGAACTGAACCCAGGGCCTCATGTATGCCAGGTAAGCGTTCTACCATTAAGCCACATTCTCAGCTTCCTCCCTGCCCCCGTTTTGTTCTCTTTTAAGACCATGGAGACTTGTGAAGATGGGGATGACCTTGTCTTCTTCTACCAGCTTTGCGAAGGGATTGCCAATGCCAGCCATGCCTCTCACACCGCCGCCCAGGCTGGCCTACCCGACAAACTCATTGCCCGTGCCAACGAGGTGATGAGATTCTGTGTCCAACCACCTTCATCTCAGGGCTCCCCTTGTCCCTTCCTTTGGAGATCTGGACTTCTGGGCCCCAAATAGTCCTCTGTTCTTCTTCAACTCCCCATGCCCCTCCTGCCTTCCATCTTGCTCCTAGGTCTCAGACTTGGTCCGCAGTGGAAAACCCATCCAGCCTGTCAAGGAGTTACTAAAGGAAAACCAAATAGAAAAGTAAGTGCATGGCCCCGGATGTGCATGGTACTCATCAATGACACATTGCTTCTTTCTTAAATCCCTACATCATCAAGGTGATAGGTTTCTTTTTTTTGGGTCCGGTCATGGGGCCTGAACTCTGGGCCTGGCGCTGTCCCTCAGCTCTTCAGCTCAAGGCTAGCGCTCTACCACTTGAACCACAGCACCACTTCCGGCTTTTTTCTTTTTGCTTATGTGATGCTGAGGAATCGAACCCAGGGCCTCATGCATGCAAGGCAAGCGCTCTACCACTGAGCCACCTTCCCAGCCCCAAGGTGATGGGTTTCTTATGCAGATTCTCTCCCTGGCTCGGGGACTCAGTTATCCATTCTTCTATAAGCCCCACCATTCTCTTTCTTCAGGTGCCAGGAATTAGTGGGTAAGTTCCTGAAACTGGATTTAGATGATCCCAACCTGGACTTGGACATCTTCATGGGACAGGAAGTGCTGCCTGCTGCCACCGCCATCCTCTGAGAGTCCTTCTGCCCTCCTGACTCCGGAGGCCCCAGGGACTGCCAGGCCCTTTGTTTCCTTATCCCCTTCAGACCCAGAGTCCTCAGGTTGCCTAGAAAATTTGTTTCATAGTAGGAATAAAGTGGCTTTTTTTTTTTCGGATGAAGTTATTGTTTCCAAAACAGAACACGAAAAACTAATAAACATCAAGCAGTCCACAGAGGAATGTGCCTCGTCTCAGTTTCAATACAAGGGTAATTCTGTAGGGAGACCTACAGTCTACCCCAGGGGTTTTATGAGAATAAATTACTTTGGAGAAGCCCTGCAAATACAGATTAGAGAGTCAGGCATGGTGGTGCATGCCTGTAACCCCAGTACTCAGGAGGATGAGGCAGGAGGATCAGGAGTTCATAATGAAATCCTGTCTTAGAACATACAAACTACAGTCCATTCCCCTCCCAAAACTGTTAAAAGTAGATTAGAGGCTATGTGGAGTGTCTTATGCCTGTAAAATAAGCTATGTGGAGACAGAAATTGAGAGGATCAGTTTGAGGGCAGCCTAGGGGAAAAGTTAGTGAGACCACTTCTCAATAAATAATCTGGGTATGGTGGCACATTTCTGTCATCTCAGTTATATAGATAGAAGCATAAGTAGGAGGATTATGTCCAGGTCAGCCAGGAGAAAAAAACCCACAGGAGCCTACCTAAAAACAAAACCGAAAACTAAAAAGAGGTGGCAGGAAAAGCCCAAGTGCAGAGGGTCTACATAAACTAGCTTAGGCCCTGAGTAAAACCTCATAATTACCCCCAAAAAACAGCAACAAAGAACAAAACAAACAACAACAAAAAGATCAAAGGGGGGGGGAATAGAGGGCACAAAGAGAAACATCCGAGCTCAGACTTCCTGTGTAACAAAGCAGAAAGATTGAAAGACAAGGCAGAGTGGGTGCAAGGCTGGGGTGGAAGGGGCGGGAGCAGCCCTGGCTGAGCCAGTGCGAGGCTCTGCCTTTCCCACCCCAGAGCCATGGGGAGCCAGGGTTCTGCTGGGCCGCCCCTGGTGCAGGTTCCCTACTCAGTTCTGCTGCTGCCACTGGAAACAAGCCGCCAAGACTCAGGAGCCCAGAGCTTCTTCCTTTGGGTAAGATTTAGGCCAACAAGAGGCCTTGGGAAGCCCCTCTCCTGTCCTCTACATTTCCATCCATTCAACATTGAGTCTTCCTTGTTCTTCCTCTTGCCCTTCAGGTCCTCAGTGGCCAGTCTGGGCTCTAAGTTAGAGACCACACAGTTAACTCCTGAGAGAAGGCCCTGGCCCTGCGTTCTACAGGGAGTGTCGGCCTCTACTTCTTGTCTCACTTAGTTGGAGAGGATGCAGGCTCTGGAGAGAAAACAGGACGCCCTGTGGCAGGGGCTGGAGCTACTGGAGCAAAGCCACGCCTGGTTCGAAGACCACCTAAGGGAAGCACAGTGTCAGCAGCTGCATCTGGGGGCCCTGGGGGAGGTACGGAGCTCCTCCTCTGTGTGGATGGGGTAGAAAGGGAGAGGCGGTAAATGGACATAGTCTGAGACCATTCTGGAAAGCAGAGAGTTAACGGGTAGGGATCAGGAGATGGAAGCGTCATTGGAATGACAGGATGGCCCCAAGTGTTAGGTTGGGGTTCATTGTTGGAAGAGGCCAGTTTGCATTCCATTCAGAGGGAGGGTGGGGGAGTGGTCTGGGGTGTTCCAATAGGGCAGGGATAGTCCAGGAAGATCCATGAGGAACAAGAGTAGGGGGGCATTGTATTATTTGAGGGATTACAGTGTTGTACTTGTACTAGAGCTGGTCCTGGGCTCTGTCCCTTAGATTTTTCCATTCCAGGCCAGCCCTCTACCACTTGAGGCACACCCCCACTTCTAGCTTTTTGCTGGTTAACTGGAGATAAGAGTTTGACAGACTTTTCTACTCAGGCTAGCTTTGAACTGCAATCCTCAGATCTTAGCCTCTTAAGTAGGTAGATTTACAGGTATGAGCCACGGGCACCTAGCTTTGATGTAGGGTGGTGACAGATGAATGGCAGATGGACTTCAAGTTTTCACCATGTTGTCAGCATCCAACACCTCCTTTAGAATTTTCTAACAGATTTGCACTCAGATTCTGGTGGCCCTCAGTTAACCCAGATTCAAAAAATGAACATGTGTCTGCAGAATCTGATTCGGAAGGTGAGTTTATTGTTTTGAGTTTAGGCTTTGGGGAGTTGATGGGACAAGAGAAAGGAGTGGGGATCAGCACTGGTTTAACAGAAAACAGCAAATCTCCCTCAGATCTCTCCACATCCATTAAACAAGGCTAGTTCCCAGGCCACCCAGTACCAGAAGGAAAAGTCAAAGCAGCAGAATTTGTGGCAGCAACAGGTAAACTGGGGGGGGTGGGGAGCCCTGGCCCACGGGGCGTGGGATACACGATGTGCAGTCTGTTTCTCTCCTCCTCTCCAGGCGTTGTCAAGGAAGCAGAAAGGAGTCATCCAGCCCAAGGGGGAGATGGCTGGGCCAGGCGGCTCCCAGGGGTGGAGGGGCCCTACCCTCGTGTGAACCTCCTCCACTCCTGCCCCTCGGAAGAAGGCGGCATCAGGACCTTCCCTTCTTGTTCTTGTCTTACTCCACAGCTTGATGGCTCCGGGATGTGTTACAATTAAATTCAATTTTAAATCTAGACATCTTGGTATAAAGTGTATCTATCCTCTGCTCCTAAAAAACTTCCACCTTTTCTCTTTCTTTGTCTTTTTTCCCTTCCTTCCTTCCTTTTCTTCCTTCCTTCCTTCCTTTCTTTCTTTTCTTTTTTTTGGTCAGTCCTGGGGCCTGAACTCTGGGCCTGGGCACTGTCCCTGAGCTCTTCAGCTTGAGGCTAGCGCTCTACCACTTGAGCTTTTTCTGCTTATGTGGGGCTGAGGAATTGAACCCAGGGCCTCATGCATGCAAGGCAAGCACTCTACCACTGAGCCACCTTCCCAGCCCCTCATTTTTAATTCTTGATGCCTTGATTTTTACCTATTCTACATGCAAAAACATGTGCAGGAAGAAGAATTTATCCAGAATCCTTCCATGGAGAAGACATGTTCACTGAAACCATCCTTTTATAATCCTCCCCCCCCCCCCACCGCCTGTAAAGAACACTTCCTAGTGCCTTGCTCCCCCTTCTAGCCCTAGACTGCTCCCCATGTGTCTTCCCTTTACCTGAGTCTGGAAGAGCATGACGCCTTAGTGGAAAAAGGTATTCAGGAGAAAAGGCATTTTCTCAAAAAAAAGAAAGAAAGAAAAAGAAAAGTCTTTGATTTGGTCTTCATAAAGGTTAGGGAAGGTGCACTATGGGAAATCCATTGCACTCTATCCCAGGTCTATGTCCCAGGTCTTAAGAAAGAACAGAGACAAGTCCGCCAGAAGGAAAACCCTGATCCCCGCTAGAAGAGAGAACCCTGAAGCTTGTGTGACCCTCTCACCCATGGGACAAGTTGAACACAGTACTGGACACGCACTTCCTCTAAGGGTTGTGTTACCAGGAGGCCAAGCACAGCAGAAACAGCACCTCTGCAACTATATCCCACCAAGAACTGCCCATTCCTCTTCCAGCCCTTCCCTGAGTCACCAAGGCGGAGGGATGAGACAGAGGCTTAGCCGAAGGAAGGACAGGACTGGATTCCGAGGCAGCGGCAGCAAGCTGATCCTGGGGGATAGAGGGAGCAGGTCAAGGTGTGCTAGAGCTGTCTTGAAGTAGCCCTCTATTTGCCTGGACTCTCTTGAGGCCAAAAGTGGGGTACCTCACCTGCTCTGCTGGATCTAATACCAGGAGCCGGAGGAAGGCGTGGGTCGGGGGCACTGGGCTGGCTCCTGGGCCTGCCGCACTCATCGCAGTCGCCGTCACCATCACCACGGAATTCGGGGCTGCTGAGTCTGGGACCTCCAGCCACAGGCGCCCTGAGGCTGACTCATTCAGTCCCAGGTGAGCCCTAGAGAGTGAATTCCAACTCTTAGAACCCAGAGCCAAGGGGCAAAGCCAAGTGAAGGGGCCTGAGAGGGTCAATGGGAAGGGGACAAAGGCAGGACTTAGGATAAGGGCCTGGGCCCAAGCCCTGCGCCCTCCAACATATGGTGGGGGTCAGAACTCAGCAAGAAGAATCAGAGCACTCACCTGGTCAGGTTGGAGGTGATGGCAAAACTGGGGTTGACAGATATCTGAAGATCAAGATCCTGAGGGCCGGAGAAGCTGGAGATGTGGAGACTCAGTGGGGCCTTGCTGCCTGGGACCAAGAAATCTGGAGGGCCGTTCAGCTGTGGGAAAGTGGTGGTCAGGAGAGGGGTTATCCCAGAGCTCTCCAGCCTGCCCCTTCCCCTGCCCCTTCCCCTTGTGTCTCACCTCCAGAAGCACTGGGGCCACAGTACAAGGCTGGGGTGCAGCCCTGTGCAGGCTCTGTCCCTCTCCATTCTGGCCAATCAGTTCAAGGGAAAAGGGGTGCGAGGTGGGCAGTAGAGTGGGTGGCAACGAGGCTGTGAGGAGGCCTTGCTCCGGGGGTCCAACAGGCTCCAAGGACACCCGGCCCAGCTCAGTGCCCTCTGGGACCCTTCGGAGAACAGCGTGGGAGAAGTGTGCATCACTAAGGTTACTTCTGGAGTCCAGCCCTGTCACTTCCACCAGCAACTGGGTCCAGAGACCTGAGAAAGTGGACAGGAAGAGGAGGAGATCCTGAGACACAGGGAGAAGAGAATAAATGGCTAGATCTTGAAGTGGGTGATGGTTATGTGGAAGTATTATACGAAATCCATCAAGCTGGACACTCCAGTGCTCTTTACTAAAAAAGATGCATGCAAATACATCTATGGATGTACATACACTTATAGATATGTGCGCACATGTAACAGGCATACAGAGAAAGAGCTGGGGGAGGGTGATCAGGGAAGAGGTACCTGCGACTGGCTGAGTCAGGGGGTAGAAGCCAGGATGAGGTCCGTCTTCCACGGGGATCCCAAAATAGAAGAGGAAGTCCAGGGAAGTCTGGGCTAAGGAGGGCCGAGGCAGTCAGAGACCTTCCTTGGAGGATGTGGGCCAAAAATGCTCTGTGAGGCCTAACTGTCCCCTTTCCCTTCCCAGGAACATCTTCCTCCTTACCTTGTACCCTCACCCGGGGAGTGCCCTTAGCTGCCATCTTGATCTCCCAAGTCCCTGTCTGTGGAGGGTCGGTCATGGCCACCATCCAGAACTGCCCAAAGCGGTGAGTGTGACCCAGAGGGCCTGGGCCTTCCTCCTGGCTTTGAGAGACCCCTGGAGATGGGGACCAGGCATTGTCATGTGAAGCAATTCATTTCCATTAGCACATCCCACCTCTTGTTTTCCATTCTCCAATCGCCATTTTTTCTTCTATGCCCTGACTCACTCACACACAGCCGTACCTGAAGGGCTCTTAATCCAGAAGCTGCTAATTTCCCCGTGCATTCGCACTGTGAGCTGGTGAAGCAGCCCGTCCACGTGGAACACAAGCGGCCTCCCAGGTATGACGACAGGAGGCTCCAGGGGAAGAGTCACCTTGAGGGACAGGCAGGACCACAGAGCGGAGGAGAAAGCAAGGTTTAGAAGAAGGGGGGTAAGGGGCTGGGAAGGTGGCTCAGTGGTAGAGCGCTTGCCTTGCATGCCTGAGGCCCTGGGTTCGATTCCCAGCACCACATAAGCAAAAAGAAAAAGCCGGAAGTGGCGCTGTGGCTCAAGTGGTAGAGTGCTAGCCTTGAGCTGAAGAGCTGAGGGACAGCGACCAGGCCCAGAGTTCAGGCCCCATGACCGGACCGAAAAAAAAGAAGAAGGGGGGTAAGACTTCCTGTCTTATTCCTGAGGGGATAGGGGACCCAAAGTGGAAGAAAAGTTGATTGATTTGAAAGAGCATTTTGGCAGGTGGATAGCCATGAGTCTCAGAGAAAGGACGAGAAACTTCCTTTCCCATTCTTCTGTCCAACAGGCCACAGAGCCAGCCTTTCTCCTTTAAGACACATCCAGCATCCCGGAGATGAAGGCGCCAGCCTCTGGCCTTCACTTACCAGAGTAGCTGTGCTCTCCCCAATAATGGTTGCCACGTCCTGGATGTGCTGGTCTTTGGTGAAAATCACCTCTCCTCCTGATGCCCGTGCCACTGCTTCATATGGCTCAAAGCGCAGGGGAGATAAGACCTCCCGACGAGCTCGCCCCTGAACTCTTGATGGATCTTCAGTCACCAAGAATGTCACCTAGGGCCAACAGTGACATCCAATATACAAGCATAAGTGAGGACCCCTTCTGCTCAAGCTTGCTGTGATTAGTGGTAGGGTCTGTCTATCTCTGGCCGCTATGGCAGGTCTCTCAGGGACAAACCCCTGGCCCTCAGTTAGGAGCTGATTTCCTCCTTGTAACTGTTACTATTTAACAGAAGAGTGCTGACAACGACTTTCCTTTTTTTTTTTTTTTCTGCTAGACCTGGGGCTTGAACTAAGAGCCTGGGCTCTGTCCTTTAGCCTTTCTGTCCTCAAGGTTAATAACACTCTACCATAAAGCCACAGTGCTACTTCCAGCTGCATCTGAGTAGTTTATTGGAGATAAGAGTCTCACAGACTTTCCTGCCCGGGGTTGGCTTTTAACCATGATCCTCAGATCTGAACCTCCTGAGTAGCAACGATTACAGGTGTGAGCCACCAGCACCTGGATCTTTCCTTGTTCTTTGAAGAGTTTATTGGGTAGATTCAAATATGGATTCAGACCAGACCTGTAATGCTAGCTTCTAGAAAGCCAAGACCTAAGGATCTCAGTTTGAACTCAGCCCAACTCTGTGAACATCTTATCTCCAAATAATGGGCAAAAAGCTGGAAGTGAAGGTATAGCTCAAGTGGTAAAGTGCCAGCCTTGAGTGAAAAAGCTAAGCAAGAGGACCTGGGGCTGGGAAGGTGGCTCAGTGGTAGAGTGCTTGCCTTGCATGCATGAGGCCCTGGATTCGGTTCCTCA